TATATTATCTAACAGTAAGGTTACAAATTATATCATCAAGCAATGTAAAAAAGAACAGTTGGCAGAATTTGAATGTTCAAAAGATAATGTATTGCGTAGCATAGCTAGTTATTATACATCTGGGGTAATGGGGTAAAGGAAATACCAAGCTGTGAGGCTAGCATCATCAATGAAGTCAAGTGATGCTAAGAGGGGAGGGGAGGGGAGGGGGTAAGAGAGCTATCAAGTTTATTGTCAAACTGCCCTATACCAAAACTACTTACTTACAATTCTCTTGTAAATGAAATTAAGAGGATTGATGTGGGAAAGGTCTATTCCATTGAAGAAGAATTCTCTACAGACATTGATGATGAGAATATTAATGGGTGCTTTAGAGACTTAAGAGAGTATTTGCCCCGATTAGCAAAATTTTATTGGAACATGCAGGGGAAACCCAAAGGTGCATTAAAATGGTTTGGAGAAACAGAGGGTAGGTTTCTCGTTGCATTTGGGGGGGAGGGGATGGATGCACTTTTGGTAAAAATGAATCTGCTTGTTTATTCCTTATCAGCTTTCTTAATGTTGGAAAGACAGTGGCATCCAGCAGTGACAATTTTTTAGTCTTTGGGGGTAATGTAGAGGAGACCTCCCTTGTTGTGAAAAAGTACATAAACTTTGAATGTAAACAAATTAGGGGTCAAGAGGGATGTGTATTTGAAATTAATGGTTTACATGTGTCATTTCATTTTGAAGAGCTTCCTAATGACATGAAAATGTTAGCAATGCTTGGTAGAGAGCTTAGTAATTCTGCTACATTTTTTCCAACTTTTACAAATGTAAGTGCAAAAGACTATACTGATTTAGGGGGGACATTTGGCTCCAGTCCTTCATGTAAATGGAAGCCCTGGCAGTATTCCAATAGACTTAAAGATGCTAAGGCTGTAAGGCCTCACTGGAAGGAAAACCTTTGTCGACGAAAAACAAGAGGTCCAAGGTTACTGATTTTATAGCTCGTCAAAAGAGCCGTCGAGAATATATTCCTTTGGTGGGTAAATTAATTGATAAAGCTCATGTAGAGCCTCTTCACCTCAAAAATAATGCTTGGGGATATTTTTTCAAAGTGCTGTTGAATGAGGCAGTGGGTAAGTCCTACATACCATCAACATGCAAAACATTTGCAGAGGCTCCAAAGGATACCTCTTTGGAGAGACTGGTCACTGCACTTAAATGTGAACTGAAGGCTGGTCGCCTAGCTAAAAAGGCTCGTAAATGGTTTGACGAAACACAGGGTAAGCAAGGGGATTTGCAGTATCGCTTTACAGGAAAAGAGTAACGGTTGTTTTGTCACAACTCTGCAAGGTTGCTGACATTTTTGAGGCAGGACAATGACAGTCCAAAACAAAGACAGAATTTGCTTTCCCTAGCTTATATTGGTGTAAGACTGAAGGATTTGTGCCCAATCATCAATCGATTTGAAGTGGAAGATACTCATCTTGAGCAACTTCAGCAATTGGCAAAAGAGTACTATCGTGCCAATGCACTACTGTTACCCACCTCAGTAAATCCCACTATCTGGACCATTGGCCATGTTGTGCCTGCTCATGCCAGGCAGGTCCATGATAAATATGGTCAACTAAGGTCTTTTAACCGTAACAATGGAGGGCAGAGAAGCCAAACATATAGCTTTACAGAAGTTAAGTGCAAACACTACATA